GAACACTCGGTTCACTGCCGTCTCCACAGCATTCTCAATATGGTCATGGGGGATTGAAGCCTGATAAATGTCACATCCTTCCTTGTATCTGTCTCAGCTAATTAATCGACATTACCAAGTTATTGAATCCAGGCAGAAGGAAAATCATATCATAGAAACGTTATTAAACTTAGGTGAAACATCTGTGAAACCTAAGCAGAATCAGCCTGATAAACATCAGTTTGGAGTGGTATCCCTGGATTGTTACTGTTTTGTCTATCTCGTTGTTTTTGCAACTGCAGGATCAACACATAATAGCCAAGAATAGTTTTATAAATAATATATGTATCAACAGATAGTAATGTCACACTGGTGAGAATTCAACAAGGAAAGGGAGGCAATGATCACCTGCTGGAAGGAGCCTTCTGAAGATCAATTCAAAGAAGAACCCACTGTCAACAATAGTAGGCACAATTCTATTATAAAAAAAATCCAATTAGAAATGAGACTGGAACTTGTAACTCATGATGTTAATTCACACTGAAAAAGTGATATGATTCACACACAAATTTGTAAGTTATATGAACAGGAACTAACACAACACCTCCACATACTCAGCTTTCAGATCTGGAATGAATAGGTAATCCCCATTGTTTTTTAAAGAATGTCATAATTGTGTAAATCCTCACGAAAAGGGACAAATGCAATGATGAAAATGAAAGAGAGCTATCCCGGCTTCCCTAAATTCCAGTATGAATTCTGAAGTACTGAAGGATGTACTGTACAGCCAACATACGTTTTATAGCCTGACAATTACAGGAAAAATGTTACAAGCTTGGGAACAACCTACTGTATGTATATTTAGCAATTATTGACTTGTGGGACACTCTAAAAGATCCTTCCTGAAGCATGGATGTCTTCCCACATTCTTCATGGTACTTCATGGTGGCCTATAATTTCCAGACAGGAGTCAAACAAGGATCTATTATTTCCCCAACACTATTTTTAATATTGCTGTTCCATAACAGAAAAACTCCCAGCAGGAAGGACAGAATGGAGGGTTGAATTATTTCATCTCTAGCAACTCCCATCCAAAACTAAAACCACACAGACTTTAGTCTTTGAACGTCAGAATGCAGACGATGCTGTAGAATCTGCCCAAACTGAAATGGACCTCCAAATAACTGACAATTGACTTGAATGTAAAATTCAATAGACCAAACTTGACCACCAGGAAGCTCCAAATGCATCAGGAGCATCATGTCATATTTCACAATGAAGGTCTAAAAAAAGTAGAGCATTTGCGATAAATTGAGTCTTTCACAAAAGGCTGATATTGATGAAGAAATTTAGCAAGTGTAACATTTGACATCTGAGAATGCATGTTTAAGGATTGTGACATCAAGACTGAAATGAGACTAATGGTCTACCATAAAATCATTATTATCTTGTTATAAATGGCTGAAATCTGACAACACTTAAAAAGACAGGTGAAATATCACCAACATAATCTTTGCTGAATATTTAATGTATCAAGTAGGAGAACAGATGCATCAACATCGGTGTTCTCTCCTAAGCAGATAGCCACAAGCAGTGAGGCTATGGACATCAGTTTAGGGTATGTTGATTATGTCACTCCTATGTCAGACTCCAGCCGAAGAATATTCACTTCTCCCACCCTTAGACAAGGCAATCTCACCAGAGGACAACAAAAGGAAAGATATGGTCAAATCTAACATGAAGAAATACATCAAAATCAATTCCTACGAGATTATAACATTTGATTAAACCAGACAGAGGGATAATATGGAAATTGATCCCAGACTGCATAGTACACAGTCAGATATCTCCTAAGACAACATTTGCTCAGAACATGTATCACATAAGAACCACATTGGTCTTATCTGTCATCTTCAGCTTCACAGAGGACAATCATGCCTGACCATGTGGGTGATAGCCAATGACTGAACCAAAAAATTCATTGTTACTATGTTCTTCTGAAGTGGTGTATTATTTGATAGAGAAGCAGTGAGATTTCTAATAGTGCTCATAATTTTGAAAGAATTCAAATCACAAATTAAAATTTTTAAAATTCAAATGACTCAATTCCAATTGAAATGTATCTTTTAATGTCTTATACCACCATCATTTTTACAGATTTTAGTTCATGGATTAAAATCTTATGATTTAGCTTTTCTGCACGGCTTGTATGCAAAGTTGAAACAGACCTTTAGATAATAATTTAATCTTTAAAACGATCATAAAACATAATCTCAGGGTCAGTTTTTTTTTTGTAAATTTACTTTCAAACATGACTTACGTGGATGAATTTCATTAGAGAGAATTTCCTCTTTTTCCATTTTGAAACGAACGCAAACTCATTTAGTTTTTTTTTTCCCACTGATAAACTTTAATTAAAAGCCACCTCCTCTGGACTGAAGACAGTGGTATTTGCCCATCTGCAAAGCTTGGCATACCGCTTGCAACATGCCAGCTGCCTTCTGCTGCTTCAGCACCCACCTGATCCTTGGAGATTCGCCTGGAAGGAGCATCGATGCCAAGCTCATCTAGCGGATAGACAATCTGCCGTCTTGGGCGCACAGGAACCATGCAATTAAGGGCAGATGTCAGAGAATGGGCATAGGCATTCTGTGAGAATGGTAGAAAACGGGTACAAAGTGAGCTCAGAGGACCCTTATCGTAATGCAATACAGCTGACTGAAATAGCAAGTACAGATTAAGGTAAAACATGAGTTAAAATGAAGGGGAAACGGCCTGATAAACAGGCACTTAGAGCAAGGGAATGAGCGGTCTGCAGCGGCAGGCACTAATGAAGATAATTATGAGAGTAATTGCATTACCATCTCTGTGGGAATGGATGAAAAACAAGTGGTTGGATTTATGGGATTCTGCTGTACAAGGATTCTCCCCCCGAGGATATGTTCTCCTCAGTAATCATGAATCAGCTAGATTTGCCTGCATTAGAAATTCATCTCTCTAATACCGTTGGAAGCGTTGCTGGCAGACCCCATTCCCCTGCTGCTGAGTTTTTTTTTCTGTTATGTTGTAATAATTGTATTTGCGCTTTATATCCGAATCTGACTCATGTTTGTACAAGGTAATTAGCAAAAGGAAGAAGCCTCTGTGCTTTGAGGAAATGCTTCATTACATCATCCCAAGCTACAGCAGCCGCTGCACCTGGATACATGCAGGAAAGGACAGGAACTGACAATGAATTGCCAATTATCAGATGCTTTATCCCTGATAAAATACAAGGGAAAAAAATATTCCATATTTATAATGTCAATAGAACACACAAATTGAACAGCAGTATGTGAACACTAGATATAACACATTAAATAAAGAGGATTATGAATGGTGTCTTTCACAGACGGGAAATACGGTGCTTTCTGGATTTGCATTACATCTCACCTTTACATCTTCATGTGAAGGGTACACACGGTGGTAGAGAGAAGATTTGTGGGAGAGCCGAAGGGCCTCTTTGAAGAAGTGTTTTGCATAATGTTGAAAAATGGGGTTCAAGGCAAAGTGAAGAAGTTGTCCATGTTCTTCCATGGTGTGATGACTAAAGTAGATGAAATTCTCGATATTGTAGTGAGAGCGGATAAAATCAATGTCCTAAAGAAACAGAGGACAATCTGTTTAAATGAGAGAATACAATTCCTTTTAGACTTCAATTAAAAAATGCAGCATTAATGCAGTATCTCACATAAGTACAGTACTTACAAATCTTCAGTGGATGCAAATATTGCCAAATTGATATTGTACACAGATGCCATCTTACTCTCTACACAAGATTTAAGTTATTATTGCACAGTACCATACTTATGTGATTACAGTTAAGTAAAAAAATATGGTTCAAAAAATAAATATTAAAGGCACATTACACCTCTTTAGTTTTCATTTGAGTTGAATTTGCTGGGATACCCCTATCACTTATAAACATTGTTCCTATAATTGGTGCTCGCAACCAGTCCATCCACTAGCCCTGGCATTAAAGTAAACACTTTTTACTGACAACGAGTGACGAAGTTCCACGTGAGGAGAGGGACGGGCTGAGACTGACCTCTCTGAATATTTCCATTTGCCACTGTCTACTTTTCCCCATCATATTTATGTTTTTAATATGAAGTAGGTTACATGTTTTAATTGCAGGACCAAAAGAATGTTATGAAAAAGAACAATAAAATGTTTAATTATGCCACGCTTTGTGTCTTTTTTCCCCTCCATAGTGTCTCAGAATAAATCACCTGAAAAGAAATTGTAAAACTGTGAAACGGTGATTATTTGCTGAGACTATGATCGTACCACCAAAATCTCACACCGTGACATCCCTACAGTCAAGAAGGACCCTTGTGTAAAATAAATCCATCCATCCATATATTTTCGAACCACTTCAATCAATCAATACAGGGTTGCAGTGGAGTTGGAGCCTATCCCAGCAAGCAACGGGCACAAGGCAGGATACACTCAAGGATGGGACACCAGTACATCGCAGGGCACACACAAATACAAAACAGACACCCACACACTCATACCAGTGTACTTAAAAATAAATCTACTAAAACAAGTAAAGACATAAACAGTATTACTTTAAAGAGAACACAGATTGGAGATGGATTTCAGTAAACTACCCCTGCCATGAGAAGTCTCATGACTTTTCAGGTAAAAAACATTGAATTTTAGTTTTTTTTATTTCTTTTTTGACACCTACAGTATACAGTATGTGGCCAGGAGATAATGACCAGGTTTGAAAAAGAACCCTAGGGATCAATTTAGAACATCCAACCAAACAATCAGTTTGGCATTGGGCTATGTGGCTACCAGGAGTTAGTCCATAAATCTTGTCTGTTTTAAATTGTTGTCTGTTTTCCCACTTTCTCAGGGTTCTCCACAGGGTTCTCTGATTACATGTCATTCTTTAATCAGATATTCACTGTTACAAACTTGGGTTTTACTACTTTCATTTCTGCACTTAACAGGTTATCTTCTGATATGGATGCAACAGAGCTTTCTTAAGCTAAACTGTTAAACATCGATATATACCTTTTTAATTAAAAAAGATAAGACTACTGTAATGCCTTAATTACTAGGATGGTTCTTAAAAGTACTAAATTAAAGTTACTGTATTTCCAGAAATCAGACTAACAAAAAGTGCTCTGTATAAGTACATTACTCCCATCCTCTGTAAATTGTAATTGCTCTCTGTGAAACTTATGAATAGTCTAGCTCTGGTTGTTTTAAGGATTTACTGTAGAGTATACTCTGAACATAACATTACCAGAACACTGCAAAATCCATGATACACTTTGGGATTGTCAACATTTTTTAACATAATTGAAAGACTCTTTTCACAGGTTTTTAATGCATAATTTAGTTTTACCTAGATTTTACTAGGTTCACTTAATGTGTATTTTAGCTTTTATTATGTGTATTACACGTGTGTCAGTGTACAATGATTTATGTTTCTGAAAATTATTTATTAATAAATGTATTGGCATTATTATCATCGTCAACATCTACAGGTGAAACGTCTCAGACTCTAATTTCAAACTTTTTGTCAAGGACCGATCTCAGAAAATCATCAAACACATTCTAACATATCACAATTCATTAAACTATACAATTAGAATTTTCATAAACAACATTTTCATTGAAACAAGGTTTATCATATTTCATACTGCAATGTTTAATAACAGGTTTGAAAACAACATTACCTCCTCATTTCTTATTATTAGTATTCCCACAATCTGATCCAGGACTTCCGCCACAAATGCCTGTACTGGAGTTCCATCCTGTTAGTCAAATCATTATAAATCATTAGTGGGCAACAGCAATAATAGCCAAACATATTATTCTGTGATAGTTTTAATATTTGTTTTTAAAACATTTCAGAATGCACCAGAAGACAGCTGGTGCTAATTACATTTTCACCTCCCACTGTTTTATCATTTCATTTAAATGCCAAAATAGAAAAAATAGCATGCATTAATGTGTCTTATTAATTCAACAGTAGCTAAATGACAAGGGGCTCAAATAATATTAGAAAAACAGGTAGAAACCTAGAGCCTAACCTTGTAAGTGTATGGCCTAAAAAACATTTAAAGAAGTATAGTATCTCTTACTGGATCTCGTCGGGCTTGACAATACATATCTAGATCCTCCAAAACAGCATCCTGCAGACTGAGCTTATTTACCAGGGACTCAACCCCAGTTTTGTCACTAGATCTGGCAAGTCTTACACAAAACTTTCTGTAACAAAACACAACAGCCAACATTACAAACCATCCACTGTTTGCTGTTTTCTTTACAATATATGCTGTGTTCATCACAAAGGAGCATTTTAAAGGCAGACTTTTCACTGTCAAAAGTAAATTCATAGTTTTACTTAAGGTACTGGATTTGAAGTAGAGCATGTTCCAAAATGGAAAAAAAAAAGATGTAAATTAAAAAAAAAACTAAATTAAAAAAACATAGATCATGAGCTAAAACTAGTATCAATAAAGAAAGGCTTCATATTTTATTAAATGTTCTTTAGTTTGAATTTTCTATGATCTATGTGATTACAGTATATTCACAAATTTTAATGTTAATATACTCTATATAAAATTCAGAGTCAAAAGATCTTTTATTTACATTGTTAATTACAATTTGTATACATATTTACATTTAGATATCTGACAAATGAAGAATTACTTGAGAAGGCCGGAGCGATGGAAGATGTAAAGCTCCTGAGACAAGGTGCTGGTATGATAGGGAACAGCACGGACAAAGCTCTGGAGAAGAGGAAACTCTGGAGCAAGTTTGGGCACTGTTATAACGCAGAAAGCACGGTCCTGCAAATGATGAATGATAAGACTGTATCAACATTGTATATTTATTCTCAAAATGCAACTGTTTGGAATGCAGTGCAAAAAAAACAGTAGTGAAGAACTGAGAATCATCAAAGACATATTTAAGGCTGAAAATATGCATACTTTGACAATTCAGTTTCCATCATGAAACCTTTGCTGTATTAACAAAAGGAATAAAGTTACATATACTTCCATTTTAAAGGCATCCCTCAGTGTTTCAAAAAGGTCAATTATCTAAAGCGCTTTAGTTTTGCTCTTTAAAAGAAAATGCTTTCTTAAAAATAAATCTGCTATTACTAATTAAGGTATCATTATTATTATTCATACTATTACATAAGGTCAGCAATTTAACCAGTTACATTTGCAAATATAACTGTGGTACAGTTTATTATTTTACTCTATTCAAGGAGTATTTATAAATAGCTTAATTTACTGTACAAGATCAAAACACACTGAAATGAAACAAGAAAATATTAACTTTATTTTCCACTCCATTATGCTGTCAAAAGGACATTGGATACTTGGGCTATAATCATAGTTACTTACAGGATAAAGTTTAAAAATGTAGGGTAAAAAGTCCACAGATCTGTAATAAAGAAAAAAAATTCTAAAATATGTTGGCACACCATGGGTTAGATCAGCATATGGAGGTTAACAGCAAGTTAGTCTGCCCACATATCCACAGCATTTTATATGCATTGGTTTATTAATCTTGACATGAAGAAAGCCATTTCTGCCTTTCATCTCCTCATACATTGTCAAGTTGAGCACTCTACTCATATATTACATGCTCATTCACAGCAGTACATAACTCGATTCCATATTTCTGGACAGCTGTGAGGTAAAGGACAATGAAAGGCCCTCAGCATGCAGCCACCTAACTGTCAGACTTTCCTCATCTTAAATGGAGCATTACAAATAAACACAGGAGATGCTCCAGTGTGTCAGGAATCTTTTTAAGGAATTTTGATATCGGTTGAGATAAAATATAATGTTGCTACTTTTACTCATAATAACTGCCTACAGTTATTACAGTGTACAGTAAGTGAAGGACATGTTGGAATACAACAGTCGAACACAAGATACAAACTGAAAAAACGAATGAGAGGAAATGCATGCAGTTTAAACATTACATTAAAATTTAATTACTGACAAAATAGTGAAGTGAATAACATGTAAAATGAACTATATATTATCAGTACTCAAAGATGTATACCCATAGTAAAACATTTGTTTCACCTACTGTATTAGTTTTTTAAACAGTTCTACTGTATGTCAAAATAAGACATGTACAATATGTGGCCAAAGGCTTACTTGCACTATTGCACTAAAACACTATTTTTGCATGTAAGCAGTTATACAAATGTTAATTATCACACTATTTTATTCAGAAATTCAAAAAAGGTGGCAAAGTTCTCTATGTAAATTGTGTGCACACTACAGTACATTTCTAGTAATGATAATTAATTACAGTTAATTAATATTCGCAATCAAAAATTGGAATTAATTGCTTCATGCTGGCAAATTTAAAATGCAATTGATCAAAACCTTTCCATAGTAAAGCATGTGACAAAGTAAGTACACCCCCTTAAGATGGTATGGTTTAATATATTTAGACACGGATTGCACCATGGTGCAGTAGTCAGTATTGCTGCCTTGCAACACTGAGACCCTTGGTTTCATTCTGTAACTGGGATGCCACCTACATAGAGTTTGTATGGTCTCCCCATGTGCGTGTGGGTTTCCTCTGGGTACCCCGGTTTTCTCCCACAGTCCAAAGACATACCTGTAGGTTATCTAGCTTCTGGGAAAAACTGGCCCTGGTGGGAGTGTGTACCTGCCTGTGTTTGTTCACCCTGCGATAGACTGGTGTCCCATCGAGGGTGCACCCTGCCCTGTGCCCAATGCTTGCCTAGGATAGGCTCTGGCTCCGCTCCATCCCTGAATTGTAAGAAGCAGCTTTTGATATGGAAGGCTGGCAGATTTTTTAAAAATCAACAATGACAAAGTAGAATATGTTTGTGTTATTTTTCAAATGACGTTAGTTTTATCTACTATTAGGATTTGGTGAAGACTAGGGTGAAATATGTCTAAATACAGTATATTAAATAATAAAATCTTAAGGGAGTGTATGTTTTCACTACATCATATATATATATTTTTACACCCAGTTTCCAGAGGCTGTCAGCCAGTTTTTAAGTCTTATCTCTTACAACACTACCTTGTAGGGACCAGCATTAGGTCCCAACAAGTAAGTGCTTTGTCCATGAGGTAAATGAACTTTTGCAAAAATACATTTAATATTACTGGTAGGGTATACAAAAACAACACATCACATAGAGAAAATATAAAGAGCTAAGGTGTGAGTAAAAATTTGAACTTTCTTTAACTTACCTCATTTCGTATTTCTCGTCTATAACAAACAACTGAATACAAAAAGCATTCAGAGCTCCTTTGTAGACCACGGTTCTGACTTTCTCTCTATTCTCTGTTGGTGAGTAATCTGAATTTATCTTTTCATTACTTGGAGCCAGAACAGCACAGGGTTTGGTAGATTCTCTCTGAAATAAGTAAAGTTAAACTCACAAAGTAACAAGTGGGACTGTGGTACGGAAATATTAAAAATGATTGTTAAATTTAAACAAAAACAAAAGAATCTGTTTTTCTCAGAGATATTCTATTTGATTTTAATCACTTATAGTCATTTCTAGTCATTCGGAAACACACTATTTATAAAACACACATTATAACTGCATTTGACTAATCAGATTTGACTTTTGGTATAGAGTACCTTAAACCTTTCACAGCATTATACAAAAAATGTATCTTTTTCCAGACCCCAGATTAGTCATTTTAAAAAGTCTGAACTGCAGAGTGTACCTTTTTTTATTTTTCTGCATGTGCTTTGTTTGACTTACAGTATTACTCCCAGGCAAAATGTTCTCTCTCTCTTACACCACTTCCTACTGTCTCCAATACTGCCCTTCTGCTGTACATTCTGTACCCCTTACCTCCTCTTAAAGAGCCCATTCATTCTCCTTCTCTCTCCTCAGTGGTGGAATGAACTACACACAGAAATATGAACCCTGACCAGCTTTGGGCACCTCCTCTAGACTTGCTTTTCTCCTCTTATGTGTGAGCTCTTTGCTTCAATATGTCCCTCAGTAACCCTTATTCTACTTCGGAAAAGTTTTGGTAAATGGTTTTTACTTATCAAAACTGGTAATGTAACCTTCTACTTCCACTTACTCACTATAAAATATATACATAATTACAGTATAATGTGATGTACATCCAGAATGGCTGTATACTGTACTGTTTTAATTATTATATTCTTCATTTGTTTGTGTGGTACTTAGGCTGCTTATTAATTTTGTGTTGTCTTGTTGTTTTATGTCTGTTCATCACCATTTTTTACCAATAGACTGGCTTCTTTGTAATGATGTTAGATAAGGTGTCTGCTAAGCAAGGTAAAATAATAATAAGAAGGAATGCAAGTGCTCTTTTACCTCTGAGGCATCAGACACCACACTCTCTCTTCTAGAATCCCTGTCTGCACTGCTGAGATCCAAAACGTCAGCTTGTTTAGTATCAGTCGCGATCTGTTAAAATATAATATACAAATTGAAGCAATTAACTATGGAAAAGTAAAACAACGACCTGAAGGCCTAAAGGAAATAATATGTGACTAATATGACTTAATGACTCATTTATTTTATGAGTCTATTATAGAAGCTCTGCCACTATGTGTTATTTATCCTCCTAACAATCCATCCTTTACACATGGAATAATAATACCTTGAATAACGTTTGTATACATAGCTTTTGATCCTGTTAAAGAAAATAATGTTAAATTATTAATCTGCTGTTTTCTTTTCTTTTGTGAACACCTCAAAGTGCATTACTAATAAGGAGAGGTCTTACTTCATTCACCACAGACGTACAGCCCCCACCTGGGTGACATGTGGCAGCCATTATATGCCAGCAGCTCCACTACACGGCAGAGAAGTGAGAAGCTGTTTTGCCAATTGAATTACGGAAGAACTTTAGGAAAGCAAGATTGTGCAAGCCCAGAGTGGAATTTAGCCAGGACACTGGGGTTGGACACTGCTATTCACATGAACAGTGCCATAGGATCTTTAATTAACAGGTTGTCAGCACCTTGGTTTAACATCTTATCTGAAAGACTGCACGTCCTCCAGCATAGTATCCTAGGTCACCCTAAGTGATTTTGGAAATTGTGGTCCAGAGGAAAGTGTGCTACCTATTGGTTGGATCACCACCAACAACTGCAGCAGTTTTTCCTTGGATTTTCCAAAGCCAGTACTGACCAGGCCAGATTTGCTTAGTTTCACAGACCTGATGGTATCAGGCAAGAAAGTGCTCATGCTGTGTTACAATTACTGTAAATAAGGCTTAAATAAATAACTCTCAAAAGGTCATTTCTTGTTGATACATACTGTGTCATAGTGAGTCAATGAAATTCATTCAACAGGTAACTAGAAGTTACTAAAAATGGTTACAGACACTTTTTTCTGTGTCACATTTTGGTACAATCTCATTTAAATTATATACACTGGAACATCTTCTTTTCAAAACTGTCTTAGACAGCTAAATGAATTTACTTAATTTGCATTCCAATGGCAACCTTCAAGCTTCATCATTAACATGTACCATCAAAACAAGACTTCTGATTTAGAAAAAGAATTCAGAAGTTTTTTATCCAAGTGATCATGATCACTTCACATTGATGTTTGTCAAATTACAAATTATTATGGATTTTTACAAATATGTGATTTACTGTAGCATGCATGCAACGGACAATGCACATTGTGACTCTACAATTGCATGGTCAAACAAGTGTAAAAAGGTTCAGCAAATAAATCTGTTTATAAATGTTTGTATAAAACAGACTCAGATATACCTGAGGTATATTAACAATCAGAGATAGGTTTCCATACATAGACATTGAAAGGTTCGACTGTGTGTACCTTCAAATCAGAATCTTGCAGACAGTTGGTGCTTGTGTCCTGTGGTATCACAGATTCTGACCTATGAATAGGTTGCCTCAATGCATCTAAAAAGAAAACAACAAATCTTATATACAACTTGTATACAAAAATACTAGGTGCACATGCTTATCAGAATGAAATCCAAATACAAAACAGGAATGGACTCCATAATTTAAATGAAGATGGCTATCTTTGTGACATTCAATAACTATTGTTTGTATATTAAAAATGGTATATGGAACCAATCCTTGTAAATTAAAAAAATATGGATTTTCGCTCTTCATTTGATTGTATTGGCCTTTTGTGCTTATTTGTTTCTTCAACCATCAAGATACAGCTCTGCTTTATTAGAATCATTTTAATACCTGACTCCCACCGTGGTTCAGATGGTTGATCGAGAATATCATCTGGGTGGGGTTTATGAAGTCCATGGTATGGCCCTAACTCAAAGCACTCATTCAGCAGTTTAACATTGATGTCACCACTTAAACTAATAAACCCCACTGCTGTGCCTTCACTCTGCAAAAACAAAAAAGAAACGAAATATGGCTTATAAAACAAAGCAGTTTATTATTGTTTAATGCATATTTCCCAAGTGTTTTCACTACAGATTTCAACAGTGTCACAACTGCTGTTTGTTATTTTTGTTATGGCGAGTACCATTCATTTCTCCTTTCCCAATAAATAAATAATCTGTTTCATTAGATCTGAATGTTTTCAAATTAATCTCAGAATTAATTTAAGGGATTAACTGATCAGATTATTTTTCCAATATAAAGGGGTAACATTTGTACTGTAACTCCTAAACTGAAGAGTTATTTTCATTTCTTTTTACTTTTACTGCTTTGTTACTTTCATACTATTAAGAGATAGTAGAGGTACTCAGATATTTGTTTCAAATGTGTTCATTCTTCATTTCTAAACATGGACTTAATTGCTTCAGAATATCAAGATAAGATAAAGAAAGGGGCATTATGACTAAAATGTGCTTATCAAACATCCAGATCACATTGCCAAAGTCCTTATTTAAAAGAACTAACAGTTGTAGTCAAAGTGTGCTGCCCTGGAAAACTACCGAAACTGTGATTTAATGTGGTTGCTGTCAAAATGTGTCACAAGCAATATATTCCTCCATACATATAAAAAATAGGTGAATAAACGATGACAACAAACATGAATAAAATGCCACAGAAATGTCTGTGGACAAAAACTGTTTTGGAGCTTAGAAAACTTATTTGTAGATATATACACTGCAAAAGTTTTTAAATGTCTTAGACAATCAAGAATAAAAATGTGCTCTAGATACAGTACATTATGATCAACAGGTATATACTATAGAGGTTTCTGTTATTGTAACATTTTTTATAGTTATTAATACAATTGAGTTTGGGTGAGAACAAACCTGACCTGTCATCAGCAATTATTCTTTGTTTATCAGAATCTTCCACAAATTCACAAAAAATCAAGATAAACAATCAATGAGCAGTCAATATAAAGTGTTGCAGTTACTAGTTACTATTTACCACTGAAATCTAGTGAACGTAGGTATTTCTCAAGATTACTTTGTCCTCATTACACTTCCATCCATTTTCTAACTACTGCATCCAATTCAGGGTCACAGGGCACAAGGCGCACACAGACACAACACAATCAAACACTATCATACCTAAGACCGGCTTTCCCAGCAGCCAATTAACCTACCGGTATGTCTTTGGACTGTGGGAGAAAACCGGAGCACTCAAAGGAAACCCAAGCAAACACAGGTGGAACATACAAGCTCCACACAGAGAGCACTCCAGGTCCAGAATTAAACCCAGGGCCTCAGAGCTGCGAGGCAGAAATACCACTGCGCATACGTGCCAACCTCTCTACAAATCCATAAAGCTAAAAGGCTATTTTTTTACTATAGAATATTTATTATTTATAATTAATGGTTGTTTTTAAACAAAAAAGAGCTACACTCCCATAATTGTGTTTCTGCACAAAAAGAACACCTGAATGAAATAGGAAGTAAAACATTTTCATAGCGATGCATATCCATGCAACCCACCCGAGTTAAATGTTAATTGGAGGTTTTAAGTAATATAACAAAATGAGGGAAATTGAGAATTGTGTTGCCAAAATCCACCGGAGTGAGGTCTTTCTGTCAAAGTCATGTTGTGTCTTTAGCTGCATAGACTGGTAAATGTAAGCTTCTGTGCAATTCATTTCAGTCCACTTTCGACGGCATGCCAAAACATTAAAAACAATTGATAATAGAGTTATCTGGATACATTTGGTCAGTATGCATAAAGGGCTTTATCTACCATATGAGGAATCAAAGCTCTCAAGCCTTAGTTACAGAAGAAGAAGTAGGACCGGTTGTTTTTTCATTCCTAAGGGACCACAAACCTGTAGAGATTTCAGTAATGTAATTATTACATTTTAAATTACAGACATTTACAAAAATTACTTTTTGCACTGAAGTCTATCTACTATTAACTGTCACACACAGGAATGAATAAGCAGAGGAAGAAAGGACAAAATGATGAGGTAAGGTGTCGTCAGGTCTCAGGATGTGAACACATTAAACAGATACTTTCAACAGTCTTCTCACAAACTAACCAGGTTTTAAACTACAAGTGACCACCTGGAGAATTTTCAGAAAATATTTTTTTTAATTATATCATTTCATCCTACAGTTTGTTTCCTCTGTGCATTGACTCCCACAGTACACAGCAGTCGTTCTTGTTAGTTGGAGTTACTGGGTCTGCATTAATTGGTACTTAATTGTTTGATTTGTTTCAGACTGGATGTGTTGACTTCCTTTTAAGATAACAAACCTCACAAACTGCAGCATGGTTGTCCTCATCCTGGGCCTCTATAAGCTCTGCAAGGAAATAATCTCCATAGGTGCTACCAAGCTTGTCAGTCTGCTGTGCAAAAATAGGAATAAGATCATCATGATCTTCTACCCTAAAAAACAAAATGAAAAATGTTTTATGATATATTTTAAAGCATACATCCTATCCTATATGATATGCTTTTCATACTGTACCATTTGTAGGGTAACTAGTCTACTATGCTTAAATGATAAAATGACCCATCTGACTATTAAGGACAAGAAAGAACCACACCTTTCAAAAAACTATCCATCCTGGGACTATATTCCAGAAATTCATGAAGGTTAGGATTACAAGTTAGATTGCACTCTTCCAATATGCAATTTTATGATGCAGCTAGATCATTCAGTGCCTTATTTGGAGCAGAAGAACTTTAAAAGTCCAATTAAAAGTGCAATTTACATAGAGTTTAACTCTGGACATACAGTACTGCAGAATTTTGGATATCTTAGAAGACAGCTCCAGTAAGTAAGCTGTTATAATAGTCAAATTTTAATTAAAGGTATGTTTTACTAAATCAGATAGGCAATGCAAGTATCTTTAACTGAAAAAGGTTACAAGGATCTTTAACTGACCTGTTATGCAGGTAGAAAAAAATACCTTTATGACACTCCTAATATGCAGTTAAAAGGATCAAAAGTACCACCAAGAGTTTTAACTTCATCAAGGGTTTGATATCAGCACCAATCAACAAGATCAATGAAGTCACTAACTTTGTGAAGCTGATGTTTGTATCCTACAAACAAAACCAACCTCAGTCTTGTCAGTCACAGTTTAGCTTACAAAAGTTATGTTGCATCCATATATATTAATATGAGACAGACACCTGACACCTGTAAACTCCAGAAACTACAGAAGTAATATTCCATTGACTGTGAATAAAGCTAAATGTCCATAGCATAACAGTGAAACTCCAGTCAGTGAAGGAGATTACAATACTAAGCAGCAATATACAAAGACTAAATTGCAAAGGTGTCAGCAGAAGAACCCTGAGTAAGGCAACATTAGATATACGTATAATTTACAGAAAAAACAAATAGTAGACTTCCTACCTCTAACATACATCACCATGTGTTACCACAACTGCATCCTGTACGTTACTTTACCATTATCATTATGATTAATGATAAATAATCATTTATCATAATGATAATGATAAGGAAACATCATCATAAATCATAAACAATCATTTATCATATCTTTATCATCTATTGTACTGTGCAAATTCCAAGGTAACAGAGCAAATAAGAATCCCAATGTACATGTACATATGTCAAAGAAATTCCTCTGTCATAGTTTAATTAAATGTATGCGAAACCCAGATTTCTTAGAATTGTACAGAATTATGAAAATGCACCTTAAAATATTGCTAATGTGTTTCACCTGAGGCCTCTTTTACTATACAGTATATAATTCTATTCGAAAGCTTTTTCTGAGCTAATCGGTTCTAATGGAAGAGGGTTTGTATTGTATATGAATTGAATTCCTCAACAGAAAAGTTAGAAAAGGAAGACGGACCTGGCTCTGCGGATATGTAACACTGGGCAATGTCTGTGTCGGTGGCACACAAATGCCATATAATCAGTGTTTGAAGTCTGCAGAGTTTCCACAGGTTCGAAGACTGCAGCAAGTGCTGGCTCTAGAAATACAGGGAGGGCAAAAGGCAAATTAATCTTATAATAATTACAGTATAAATTAATTATTTCAACCTGAATCAAACGCAATCTGTGCAAATATTTGCCTTCACAAAACGTTATGTTAGTTTAGTTCACTTTCTCTTTTTAAAACTGAACGTTTTGAAAACATTTTACGATTCTCTAAATGTGGCACAGGAACATTTTAGCACAACAAAATCAGTAATTTAAATTAAAAATAAAATTGATAAACTTATAATTGAGAGATTTTGAGATATTTGTACAGAATTCCATTCTAGCTTGAAATGTAACTCTAGCTATTTTATTTGACATAAAACATTTTTGATTATATTTTGTAAATACATCTGATTTGATTTGATTTACAGCTGTTATAAAAGTAAGATTTCTTACCTAAAGTGGAACCAACTGGAGCAAAGAGGAATATATAATGGAGCTCTGTAACAGCATTGAAAACTGTTCTAAAAGTAAGCACATTGGCAGTAAAATGACATTATTGTTATGGTGATATACTGTAACAAATTAAATCAGAAAATAAACAAAAGAAAGCATTGTACAATAAATTTCTATTTAATTTATTTTACAAATTCTTCTCAGAAGTTATAAATGCAAGAAAGGTTAATTATCGTTACAATCAAAACATCTAATAAAAAATGAGAAGAGAAGATCATACACAATCTAAGTCAGAGTTCTATATAAAATTATTTCCAATTGCCATGTTATTAGTTTAATGTTTCATACTGGCTTGTTTTATTAAAGTATTACCTTACAATCTCTTTTGAACTCCCAATACAGAAGTCGGGCCGTGCCACATAGAGGTGCATAAAAAGTGTGTTCAGTGGCTTAAACAGAAAAAAAATATACAGAAATAAGATCTAAGATACATATAATAATATCAGTATTATTTCTGAATAGCTTATCTCTCATTCGCTTAGTGATGTGCATTTTCTCTACCATGACTAGATCAAGCAGATCCATTGTATACTGGTTGGTACAGTATGTCAAAAAATGAGACCGCACACATCACATTCTACTGGTGCAAATGGCAATGGGAAATGTATGTTATTACATAAGGTCGGGGGGCGAGGTCACTTAACACGTAGCAGCAAACAGCACTCAAAATGCTTCAATTTATACCATGCGATATAAACAGACACTGTCCCGGTCATCTTTGCACATGAGAAATTGTTCTTATGACATATATGGTAAAATAAAGGATGAAAAAGTAATTTTCCTGAAACTTACTTTAAGTGACTTGTTTATGTTCCTGCGCAACCGGGTTGAATTTCTAAGTAGGCTAATACCGATCTCTAAATTCTAAGTAACACGGAGGTTTAAGCAGGTAGGAAACTAAAATGTGATTCAGAAAGAATAAACAAATCAATCCAGAGTGCATTAAAAGAAAACTCTTACCAACACAACATGAATCTGTCATTAACTAAATAGTGCACTACTGCTTCAGCTGCTGCTAATAATACTAGTGCACACAACTGTTGATAATTCGGTGAAATCAATACTTACTGTACATTTATCAATGTTGTAATTGTTGTGTAACCAAGGTTCCCAGCAAGCCTGGTCAACAAGATCCAGATTGGGATAATCTAGGAAGGCAGCGTGAGCTATGACTTCATTGTTTGCACTGTTCAGTGTCACTGCAAGGTTAGCCTTCTCCCTAGGTAGACAAAAAAATAAATGAATAATGACCAGTGATGGACTGGGATCCTTATCCAGCCTGAATTCCCGCCTTGTGCTATGCACAATTTCTCTACGACCCTTACCAAGAATAACTGGCTTTTTGATCATGGATGCATGAGTCAATTATGTTCTAGAATGGTACTTATTTATTAGAGACCCTTCTGAATCAAAATGAACCAGAGGAGACAGTTGGAAACAATGCTGAAGCACAATGCTGAAGGCAGTTTTTCTTTTACAAAAGAGGTTGTTGGTGTCTGGAAAAAGCAGTACATCCATACGGCTGAAGCTGATACTCTGGCTTCTTTCATGAAAAGGCCGGATGAGATCCTTGGATGAATTTAGCTAGAAGCAATCAAACGAACTAGAAGGGACAGATGGCCTCCTTTCTTTTATACATAAAAGGAAGCTCCTTATGAAACATCTGGGGAATAATAACCTGTTGGGGATGGCATATGTAAGCCTGCTTAGAATGGTGTGTTCAATGCACCTCAACTCCACTTGTGTGGTCTTCTAAACTTATTAGCCAGTATTGCATCTATCAATCGACCATTGCTAGCACATCAGGAGAAGTTCGGAAGTGCATTTAGCTTACAACATGTGTTGTGTATGACCTTGCTCAGACTCTACGAGAGACAACTTCTTTAACTCTCACCAAAGCTAAACTTAAAACATTCCTTTTTACCAAGGTCTACATCTGATTGCCCTCCATCTGTAAAACCTCTGTATGCTCTTGTCTATTTTTTCCTTCATTTACATTTTATTGGACTTTTTTTTTGCCTTTTTTTATTCACTATGCAGAGCGTCCTTGGATTTCGAAAGGCGCTTCATAAATAGAAGTCGAATCCGAGCTGAAAGAGGTGACTCAGCAGTGATAGATTCTGCACGCCAGACGCTGCAATCGCAGGTCATGTGGGAGCAGATGCACACGCTGACCTCCGAGTCCCGGCCCCGGGTGGAGTTCCTGTAAGAAGCGGGGTAGACGTGGCACCGGGTGAAGAAGGGTTAAATGTAACTGCACCCAGGCTGCGTCCGCAGCAGGCGAAAGGGGGGACTGAAGGATTATTTTTAGATATCTTTTGTATAATAATAATGAATAAACTTCTATATAGTGCCTTTAAAGGTGGCTTCTCAAAGTGTTTTACAGCATGTCAACAACAACAATAAAAAAACACACAAGATAAGCTAGATGAGAATACACAGGTAGAGGAGCCAGTAGATGGTCGTACTGAATACAGTGGGAGCAGAGGGGTAAAGAACAGTTCAACAAAGGCTCTTCTAAAGAAGAAGGTTTTGAGTCTGGATTTGAAGGAGTTTTTGTATGACATAACTGTAACTTGAAGCATTGATGATCACCTTGTACCTACAAACAGTTGCTGACGCTTAACAATCTTTTTTAAAAACATGTCTTTGTGATTCTGATATAAAAAAATATGCAGACTGCTGACAGCTACCAACCGCTCAAGAAACTATAAGTGTCAGGCAGGAGGAAGGAGGAAGCCGAAGTCGCTCTGCCATCTCAATCGCCGGATGAGGGGGATGTACCGAGATGAGGACGGGGCTACTGAACTGCGGTTTTTGCTCGACTTGTTTGTACCGGGCGATGATGAAGGAAACCAAGCTTGGGGAAGAGATGCGCAGAGAAAACTTTCTCTCGCGTCGCTGTGCTGTGTATCTTGATTTGAGTACTAAAAAATAAAGACCTGATGTTCGCTTCGCCTCCGTAGTCTGGACTCGGTTCTTTTCACCGACCTCCTAAAAGAGGGGTAACCTCAGCTGTCCCGCCTTCAACCTCTCCAGGGAAAAGGGTCTCACACGTATTACATACAGTACCACTCTCACCAACACATGTTAAAAGCAGTCTGTGGACGGTGCATGCGATTGCAATATTTCTCAACTGAATGACGTAAACGCTGCAGGACTGCTACGACTTTGACATTGGATATAGCGTTGAAAACAAAGTTAAAGACAATAGGTAATCCGATTTACGTTCTCCCCAACTATTTTACTCACAATAGGTAAATGACGTTTAATCTGCCAAACACGTCTTTGGTGGAAGGCAGAATCAGATTACTGATCTCTGGAGCATCCGACGATTCTGCTCGCCTCGCCGTCACAATTTCTTCTTTCCCACCAGAGGAAGTAATGGTCCTCATTGTACCTTAAAGCAAGCAGTCGGGCGGATAAATAAAGCAACTGCACTGGTAGTGAATTTACAGATTTCAAAACTGAGAAACAGCTCTCTTGCGCTACAGAGTTTGAAATCGTGTTCAGACGACAGACAATCGCAAGCACTTTAGAAATGTATATTTACACATTACGAGACCAATAACAATTTAAATGTGCAGTGCCAATGCGTATTTCACACATACGCATGTACAACTGATTTTATAGAAACATGAGCAGAAACATTTTGATGCTCTCTTTGACATGCATATTAAGAGTGGCGAGTCACATTAAATTCAGCATAGGTTATCCAATGCATTATATGTATATGTACTACAAAAATAATTCTTTCAAATGCAATATTTCTTCAAGAAGACGAGGCTGGGTTACCTTCCTTTAAGATAACTTGCGGGTCCTCTGTGAACATTCAGCAAACAAAACTTCATATCCATGGTGACAGAACGCTCCGTCTCCTTGACTACCAATGACATCATGGGGTGAAAGGTTGGAGGTTACGCACGGCGTACGTCTTTCATGGCGGACCAGTGTGTGGAACCGTAGTTGACTTCTGTTGTTGTTATTACAATACTGTTCTTAAAACTGTGTATTTTTTATTTTAATTCGGATTAGAAGTAACAAGTTGAAAAAATGGCTTCTACCGCGGCTGGGAAGCAAAGGATACCGAAAGTGGCTAAGGTAATATTGTACCGTGTGCTGGCGATGTTTGTAAGGCCTTGCGAAAGATAAATTCAACGTGAAAAACATAAATAAAAAGGTTTATATATAAATCAAACGTATCAAAGTTGCATGTCTTATGTAGGTGTAAAGTATATTTGCCCGTGTGGTATAGCTAGGCGCTTATGCCAATTTAATCTCGAGTCAATTAAAAAAAATGCCTTTTGCAATGTACTTTGATACATTTTGAATTCCTCCTTCACAGTGCGATGTGTATTTGCTTGTGCTTTGCTCTATGCGGTATAGCGGTAACGTGGCGTGGCTGAGCTGGAGCTTTTGTCCCGTGTGCAGGTGAAAAACAAGGCCCCCGCCGAGGTGCAGATCACGGCGGAGCAGCTGCTCAGGGAAGCCAAAGAGAGGGAGCTTGAGCTTCTGCCCCCGCCGCCCAAGCAGAAGATCACCGACGAGGAGGAGCTGAATGATTACAAGCTGCGGAAAAGAAAGGTTAGTGCGGAACACAGAGCCCGGCGGCTGTTTTAGACATGTAATAATAATAATAATTGCTTACACTTATATAGCGCTTTTCTGGACACTCCACTCAAAGCGCTTTACAGGTAATGGGTCTCCCCTCCACCACCACCAGTGTGCAGCCCCACCTGGATGATGTGACAGCAGCCATAGTGCACCAGTACGCTCACCACACATCAGCTATCAGTGGGGAGGAGAGCAGAGTGATGAAGCCAGTTTATAGATGGGGATTATTAGGAGGCCATGATTGGTAAGGGCCAATGGGAAATTTGGCCAGGACGCCGGGGTTACACCCCTACTCTTTTTGAGAAACACCCTGGGATTTTTAATGACCACAGAGAGTCAGGACCTCGGTTTTATGTCTCACCCGAAGGACGTTACCTCTTTACAGTCCAGTGTCCCCATTACTAAACTGGGGCATTAGGACCCACGTGGACCGCAGGGTGTGCGCCCCCTGCTGGCCCCACTAACACCTTTTCCAGCAGCAACCTTAGTTTTTCCCAGGATTGTCCCATCCAGGTACTGACCAGGCTCACACCTGCTGAGCTTCAGTGGGCTGCCAGTTGTGAGGTGCAGGGTGATATGGCTGCTGTCTCCGACTTCAGGACCCGAGTCCAGTCATCCTCCGAAATGACCTCCACACGCTCCACGTCCCTTTTGTTAGTTTAAGTACCAAGCGGAGACAAAACTTTAAAAGTTTGTGCTGTTGTTGATATTGAGTTTTTACTGTTAAATCAAATTATCATCACTTTTAGATATTGGAATCTGCAATATAATATTTTACACCAGTTCCTTTATTTCCTACAGTTCTTCTATCTTATATTTCTAGTCTATCATGTATTTCTATCACATTGGTGGTGGTGGAGGGGAGTCCCCATTACCTGTAAAGTGGAGAGTCCAGTAAAGCGCTATATAACTGTGCGCTATTATTATTATTGTTATTATTATTATTATTTCTAGTTATTGGTGATTGTAAGAAGTTGCCTGACTTTTGCAACCATGATGATCATTAAAACCATCGTAGCTGTACTGCTCTCAGATGGCCCAACCATTTGAAGTAATATGAACTTGAAAAGGGGAGAATTAAATATTTTTACACCCTTCTGTTTAATGTTTTTTTTAATATTTGTGTTCAACTGTATAAAATTCAGGTTACTCAGTTGAACAATAATCGTGTGAGTTTAAAAAGCACAAAAGCGCATATGATGAAAGTACACTCATCTGAGCTTTCTCCATGATACTTTGTTTTTGTCTATTCAAAGGGATTTGAAGACAACATCCGAAAAAATCGCACTGTCATCAGTAACTGGATAAAGTATGCACAATGGGAGGAGAGCCTGAAGGAAGTTCAGAGGTAATATTTATTTCTTAATGTTCTAGATAGCCCCTGAAATGTAAGAGGAAAGAATATTATAAAAAATACCTGTCCACCCAGATTCTGAATTGTGATTACAATAGGGCCAAATAACTTGGAAAGCCACAGATTTAATGAAATGCTTTTAGAAAAGAGAGAGTTTATTTTGCCATGTGTACATATACATTGGGATTCTTGTTTGTGCTGTTCTTTCTGAAGGTGTACAGTAAAATAGGCCATGCCACACAATGTGCACAGTACATTAAGCCCACAGCCATATCACCCTGCAACTCACAACTGGCAGCCCACTGAAGCTCAGCAGGTGTGAGCCTGGTCAGTACCTGGATGGGAGACCTCCTGGGAAAAACTAAGGTTGCTGCTGGAAGAGGTGTTAGTGGGGCCAGCAGGGGGCACTCACCCTGTGGTCTATGTGTGTCCTATGTGTGTCCTAATGCCCCAGTATAGTGACGGGGACAATATACTGTAAAAAGGGTCTGTCCTTCTGATGAGACACAAAACCAAGGTCCTGACTCTCTGTGGTCATTTAAAAAACCCCGGGTGCTTCTCGAAAAGAGTAGAGTGTTATCCCAGTGCCCTGGCCAAATTTCCCAATCATGGCCTCGTAATAATCCCTATCTATGAACTGGCTTCATTGCTCTGTTCTCCTCCCCACTGATATCTGGTGTGTGGTGAGTGTACTGGGGCAATATGGTTGCCATTATGTCATCCAAGTGGGTGTTACACATCAGAGATGACAGGAAGTCCACTTAGAGTGGAGCGACCAAAAACGTGCTATGTAAGTGTAAAGAATTATTATTACGGAGGCCTGCAGGATCATTAATGATCTAACTGAACTAATTAAAGGCTTAATTGGAACAGTGCAAGAGACTCCCTGTTCTCCAAGTGCTACTGATTTAAGGCATAAAACCTGCAGGAATTCAGCCCTTCAGGATCCAAGTTGGAAACTCCTACTCTAGTCTAATAGAAAACCAGAAATAAGCTTTCTGACTGCAGATGTTGAGTATTTATTATAATAAATAATGACAGTTGCAGCCAACTCTTTTTTAAAAAAGAGTTATAACGCTGCACGCCCGTCATCATCAAGGGTAACGGCGTGACATGATGCTCAAAAGAATGGTCTCCTCATGCTCTTTTTATGTGTGTGTTTTTCCTTCTTCTCTAGAGCCCGCTCCATTTACGAGCGTGCCCTAGATGTGGACCACAGGAACATCGCGCTGTGGCTGAAGTATGCCGAGATGGAGATGAAAAACCGGCAGGTGAACCATGCCCGCAACATCTGGGACCGAGCCATCACCATCCTCCCGCGGGTCAACCAGTTCTGGTACGGGCTCAGTAGTGCAGGGTGCAGAAGCATACGTGAAGAACGTAGGGTTTCGCTGCTTTTCCTTTTCTTTTGTCGGACTATATTTTAGTACTGTATGAAATAATATAAGTCAATCGTCAGGGTACACGCAAATTCTGTTTAGCTAATCTTTGAAGAGATCTTAATTTAGGTTTTGCCTTTCAAGCTCAGCTACAGGAAGGATAGTTCAGCAGTGAGACATTAAACTGTTAAATGATATCATGTTTTATCCATAGTTTCTCTGCTCTAGTTAGAACGCTGTGTTCTCATACTTGACTGAGCTGGGCGTTAACCCCTCATGGGCATCGACTCTGGTTTCCTCTGGATAGGTACAAATACACCTACATGGAGGAGATGTTGGGAAACGTAGCCGGCTGTCGGCAGGTGTTTGAACGGTGGATGGAGTGGGAACCTGATGAGCAAGCCTGGCATTCCTACATTAACTTTGAACTGCGCTACAAAGAAGTGGACAAGGCACGCTTCATTTACGAGACATATATCCTTTCCAAAACTTGTTTCCTACTTGTTTTTGGGGTGTAGTGTTGACTTTTTTTGTCTGACGTAGGACTAGACTTTAAGACTATAATGGTCATTATCCATTTTTCTCATCATCCGTGTACAGAATTGTGCTTTGTAGTTAAAGGGTAGTAGTGTTCAGGCATTTTCAGCCACTCCCCCCAGTTGGATAGAGTTAGTTGTTGGCCTCGTCCCTTCCACTTTATCAACATTATCATGTTGTATATGAAAAATGTAGGCCAATTCATGACTCATCACACCGTCCAGCCCATGTTTTGGATACCACTGATGTACAACATGCTGTACTTTGGTATAGCTGTGTCTTTATGTAGCTGAAATTTTGCTTTCTTGATTGCATACACATAATTATTGTCTACAATTACTTGAGTTTCATTTGCCAAGGATAAAGAATAAAAATCATTCAAGAGTATTCAAAAGCCCTATGTCAATGCAGTTATTATGTTGTATAACAGTTACTTTTAAGTAAAATAATAAGTATTCTAATTTAGTTGTCTTACTACAAATAAACTTGAAAGAAAAGGTAATTTTTTTCTTGAATATTTCTGTAAGTACAGACCTGCAGGAAGTAGCATCTTTCCAGTAAAGGAAGCAGTTTATTAGAACGAGACTTTGTTGAGGAGGGAGGATTTTCAGGAGCCTGTCCCTGCAGTTATGTTCCTTAACCCCAGTGTACTTGTAATTGTCCACCCTGAAGTGAAGAACTGGATCAAGTACGCCCGCTTCGAAGAGAAGCATGGCTACATTGGCCATTCCAGGAAGGTGTTTGAGAGAGCCGTGGAATTCTTTGGGGAGGAACACGTCGATGAGCATCTCTACGTGGCTTTTGCAAAGTTTGAGGAGAAACAGAAAGAGGTGACCGATTGCTAGCTTGAGAAAATCTACTGCCGTAATTGACCTTACGACTTTATTTTTGTGCTTCTGCAGCTCGTGAGGTACTTTCCTCTCATGGTGGTTTTCCTGCTTGGGTTTCTACAGTTTGAGCGAGTGCGGGTGATCTACAAGTATGCCCTGGATAGGATTCCTAAGCAGCAAGCCCAGGAGCTGTTCAAAAACTACACTGTTTTCGAGAAGAAGTTTGGAGATAGGAGGGGAATCGAAGATGTCATCGTCAGCAAAAGACGTTTCCAGTATGAGGAGGAAGTCAAGGTGAGCAAGCTTAATGATGAAGCTAAGGATAACTCGACTAAATCGGCTGTTTTACTCGGTTTTTTACGCAGTATTTCGTTTTTACCCATTCCTTTCCCACCTGTTTGATTTCATTTGTTCTTCTAGGTCTTTACAGTTAATTTGTTCTTTTTTTGCAGGCAAACCCTCATAACTACGATGCCTGGTTTGATTACCTCCGACTGGTAGAGAGTGACGCAGACGCTGACACGGTTCGAGAGGTGTATGAAAGAGCCATTGCCAACATCCCCCCCATCCCGGAAAAAAGGCACTGGAGAAGATACATTTACCTCTGGATTAACTATGCCTTGTACGAAGAATTGGAGGTCAAGGTTAGTGCTTTAAGATTTTTGGTTGAGATGTTAAATGACTCTGTTTCCTATATGTGAAAACACAGGTTATGCAATTAATGTTAAAACCACAAAGTAGCTTAGCTTTGTGACTTGCAGTTGATTTCTGTTCTGCAGGAGAACAGAGAGGAAAAGGCAAGTGCAGAGAGAAAAAGCTGCAAGCTAAGGAGGAGGCAAAGGGAAAGTGTTATTTTTACAACATGAATGAGGTTTTCAGGCTGGAGAAAATAGAGAGAAAGATTAATCATTCAAATAATCGGGGTTAAATAGGGTACTGCAGTAGAGAACTGTTTTACATAGATGTAAAGGATCAGAAATGTGTTAGTTAACAAGCGTAGCACATGGAAGAAAGTGGTACTTTGTCGAAGTTTAAATTGTACCAGATATTTAGAAAGTTAGAAATAGGTGTGTGCTTACAGAAGAACAGTCTTTGGCCATAGCAGAAATTGCACTGTAGGATGGAATTATGACACTATTTGATAGATCTGATGTGTACTGTAGGTTAGGCTGGAAGACATTTTTTTAAAAAGGTGCACTAATTGAGGGAGAAGAATATGCTGTTATTTCTAAAAGTACAATGTCTGACGTATGATAACGATATCTAATTAACAGGGTGATGATGCTTCCATTGGGAATTTTATTACAAAACAGCTATTTGGAGTGGTGGTTAAGGCTCTAGACTTGTTACTGGAAGGCGAATGGGTTTGAATTCCCTTGAGCGAGAGACATCACTAAGGTTGCATTAGTAAAATGCCCTGCTATGTAATATAATGGCTTCTGCCCAGGTGGTATTGTAAATATGAATTTGTTTTCAGTTGAGTAATCTAGTTAAATGTTTACTGTGTTTTGCATGTGTGCAGGGAAACTAAATGATATTATATTGAATGGCAACTTTAAGAAAAATGTTTTTTCTCAAGATAATTTTGATACTTGAGTTAAAAATTTCTGTTAAGTGTTTTAACTTCACTGAATTTTCATCCTATCCGCAGGACCCAGAAAGAACAAGACAAGTGTACCAGGCATGTCTTGAACTCATTCCACACAAAAAGGTATTTTTCTGTAAACTGTTTTTAGTGAACACATACACCAACATTTATAAATCCTTTTGAGTCACAACTATTTGTCCTGTTGATTTCAGATATTATTATTGTTGTTCAGGTTCCATCGTAATTCATAATACAAATACTGTACAGTCACAGTGAATACACAACCACTGTCACTTTACATACAATGCATTTAAGACTAGGATCTTAGTATTTTACTTTGTGTACAGAGTCCTGAAATGTTTAATTAGCCTACTGACCTATTGAATGTTTTGCTTCTTTTTTTTCCAGTTTACATTTGCCAAAATCTGGTTATTATGTGCCCAGTTTGAAATAAGACAGAAGAATCTTCCTTTTGCTAGGAGGGCTCTGGTAAGGAGACTGATGTAAAAGTTGTATTTTACAAAATTTGGGGTCACTTTTGCCCATACTGATCTTTACAAACAATGGCAAATTCTAGAAAACATTTTGTTCAGTGAGGATGTTGAAGTAGTCATTTTATTGTTTTCTGTTGGGTCATTAACAAAGGATGAAGGTTCAGTCCTAAATATTTAAAAATCTGCCTAAAAATATCTAAAAATTTTAGAATAATCTAAATTGTTGAAACGAACCATGTATTAACCTTCACGTGTTGCACAACAGTTTATTCACTGCATTGTTTTTTTTCCTCCATTTCTCTTTAGGGCACAGGCATTGGTAAATGCCCAAAGAACAAACTATTTAAGGGCTATATTGAGCTGGAACTACAGCTTCGAGAGTTTGATCGTTGCCGAAAACTCTATGAGAAGTATCTGGAATTTTCCCCAGAGAACTGTACGACGTGGATCAAATTTGCCGAGCTCGAGACTATCTTGGGAGATGTAGACAGAGCTCGTGCAATCTTTGAACTCGCTATAGGACAGCCCAGACTGGATATGCCAGAGGTAATGTTTGCTTTTGTGCCGAAGTAACACATTGGAATATTGTGTAAAAATGGTGTGTGTTCCAGCCCCCGGACCTCTGGTTTCAAAATTATATTCTTTAAGTACTGTCATTCGTGCATTCAACAGTGAAATGAAAACCAGAGAGCACAAGTGGAAATCACGGTGCCTATATAAAGTCTACAAATTTATTATCCAAGCCATATTCCTAGGTTTTCATTGGTAAGTACTTTTCAATATGTTAATAAAGGTAAAATAAATTGTGATTTGATGTGTCTTGTTTTCAGACCATTAGGCCACAAACTGTAAGCGGTGCATAGACTTTCTAAAGGCACTGTACTTGGAAGTGCATTTAAAGCCGAGAAAAATGAGCACTTCTTTAACCAAAGGCTTGTGGGAGTGTAGCATAACCTCCCTGATACCTTGGTTTCTTTCAAGGAATGGCTGGATGGAGATTCTGTTTCAATGAACTACTAACTACTAGATGGGCTACAAAAGCTGAGTGGCCTCTTCATCTTCATCTGCAGCCTGTCTTATGTTCTTATGACATCAGTGATAAGTGCTGTTTTGGAAATGTGAGCTGCAGCTTAACTGATTGGACATATTTACTGTGAATTCTATATGCTGTGCTCTTAAAGTGCAGTTAATAGCTTCATTGTCTTAATTATGAAATAATTCAATTTCAGGTGCTTTGGAAATCGTACATTGACTTTGAAATTGAACAAGAGGAATATGGAAAGACGAGAGACCTGTACAGGAGGTTACTACAGCGCACTCAGCATGTTAAGGTAAATCTTTCTACCATCAGATGTAAATTGTGAAATGGTACACTGCTTGGAGGTGACACAGTAGCATAGCATCTCTAGGATTCTGGGTTTGATTATGGCCCTAGGTATTAGTGTAGTTTGCATGCACTCCCTGTGCTCACCTAGGTTATTGGCAAGTGTTTTTTTCCTTCCACCTTTCAGAAATGTGCTGATCAGGCTTGATTCGGTATTCTAGGTTGTCCTTCTCTTCGTGGACCTTCATTGGACTGGTGTGTTTTAAATGCCATCTTGGTCCCATTGCATCTAGCTCTGCCTTGCTGCCACCTTTATAGGAAACGCAGCTTTCCAATAATGGGTGGTTTAAGGAGCTCCACAACTTGACATATCCATTTTTAATAGATTGTCTCATGCATTATTATAAACTGAGAGCAGAGAAGGTTTTCTGAGAGCATTGTAAAAATGGCGTCTCCATCCAATACCAAATAATCTCACCTTCAGGATAACCCATGGACTACATCATTTTTTTATCAGAATAATTTTGAATTTTTTCCGTTGCGTGGAAAATTGGACAGCCTTGTCAATTCCGTGTTTCTCATCAAAACTATACCCCGCTGTATTGTGTAGGTTTGGATCAGTTACGCCCAGTTTGAGCTATCTGTCGAGAGTGAGGATCGCCTGATCAAGTGCAGACAGATTTACGAGGAGGCCAACAAAGCCCTGCGCAACTGTGAGGAGAAAGAGGAAAGACTCATGTTACTGGAGTCCTGGAGGGACTTTGAGGCCGAGTTCGGTACCGACAGCACACGGAGCAGAGTGCACAGGCTTCTCCCAGAGAAAGTCAAGAAGAGGAGAAAGCTGCAAGCAGAGGATGGCGTAAGACCTTTATACCTGTTCTCTTTATTTTTAAAACGTATAATTTGGTGTGAAGAGGTTTACAGAAGAAAAACAACTACAGCAAACAGTTGCAGTAACTAGACTTCATGGATGGTCTTCTTTCACTATAAACTATAAAAATAATTACATTTGTTCATACGTGTAATTATCTGAAATGTGTTTTATCCTGTTTAAAACAATTATAAAGATGTGTTATGCAGCCTAATCGCTACAATTAGAAGAGGTAGGCTTTAAAATTAGTGAAGTTCACAATATAATATAAATGTTAGGGCCTGGTGGTACAGAACCACCACTCAGGAACAATGGCAACACCTAGAATTTTAACTGTGTTGCCTCCTGTACCTGTACTGTAATGGAAAGGAATGTGCCAAGTTTGTAACCATTAAATTGCGTAATGATAAATTGTTATATTTACATAAGAACCAAAAAAAGTTACAGGAGGTCATTCAGCCTGCTTAGTAGTTATTAATTGATCCCAAGATCTTATCCAGCCGCCTCTTAAAAGAAGCCAACAATGTAGGAGGGGAGCTCAATCCATACACCTGCAACTTGTTGAGTAAAGAAGTGTCTCCTTTCACTGGGTTGGGTGCATTTTGTTGGAACTTGTTCAAATATGAGTCGGTTTTCTTCTAGATTGGCTATTCCAAATTCTTTAAGGGACATAAACCATGTTAAACACCAACAGGGTTTAGCTGTAGCAGTGTTGCAAGTTTTGAGGAAAACCAAAATGGATAAATATTTAGATGGGATATGTAGCAATTTAAGAGTATTATTTTAATTTGGGAATGTTTAGACAGAACATTTACAAACTACAATAGGCTGCATGGCTTCTTTATTGTTACTAATGGGATTTGAGCAGTCCTTACAAGGTTCAGAATAGTTACTGTTTTGTGAAACTGCAGAATTGGATGAATTGGATTTTTAACTTCACAAGCGGGTAAGTCATTTTACTACACCTGTGGAAGGATTCTGCCTTTTACTTTTCTGGTTTTCGTACTGATCTGTATTTTCCCTGTCCCTTAGTCAGACGCCGGCTGGGAAGAGTACTATGACTATATCTTTCCAGAGGATTCTGCCAACCAGCCCAACCTCAAGCTGCTTGCCATGGCGAAAATGTGGAAGAAACAGCAGCAACAGGAGGAGGAAGAGGACAGTCAGGAAGACTCGCAGGAGCAGCAGGAACAGGAGGACCCAGCGGCTGTTACTGCTGGTGATGACAAGGATGATGGTGATAACGACAGGCAGGATAATGATGAAGATAAGGATAAGGATGAGGACAGCAATAAATCCTAACCTGTCCTTCACACACTTTCAGAACATGTTTTCTCACAAGACTCTTGATCACCATTCTCCCCAACTCCACTGTCTTCTAACAGAATGGAATTTGTATCCCTCAGTTCCCGAAAACATTTTTTTTTACAGGAATAAACATGATTTTGTATTTATTGTACAGTGTCCCATTTATTATAGATTGAATATAATATCCACAGTCCTGTTTTATGAAAGAGAACTAATAGTTTATAATATGGTGCAAAATGAAATGGGCATCATATATATCCTTTATTATCTTGACTTTAATATCTGTTTAATTCTACTTGATTTACATTGCTACAGGGAAATGCATATTTCAAACTTTAAATTAAAAAAAAATATTTTACAGAAAAGCTGTGGTTCTCAAGCAGTCATGTTTCAAATATAGAGAACTCATTAGACTCGTCTTTAAGCCTCTAAAAACATCTTTTGCCTGAGTCTATACTATTTTCATTTCAACAAGTTTGGGATCTAATGTTTTTTACTGAGAAATAAGCCTCACACAAAAGATATGGTCTTCATCATTAAGACCAAAAATGTCAAGAAAGGATGACTAAGGTGCCGAACCTTTAATCTTTATCACTGGTTATCTTAAGAGGATCTAGAGTTAGAAAAAACACCTTTGTGTGATATTTAAAAATTAAATCTAGAGAGATTTAAATGGGTTCAATGCTTGGAGTTTGCATTGATTTTTATTAGCACTACGGGTAATTGTGTTGAGGCAACGTGAAAATTATCCTGACAAAAGGAACGATTTAGATTCCAAATTGGCAAAACCAACAATTTTAAAGGCAGTTTTGTGCTGTTCGTGCTCAAAACTCTTCACCATAATTTGCAGAAAGCAACTGTAATCGTAAAGGGGACTCAACTGCTGAAGAACCACAGCCTATAGTTATTCAATATCTTCAGGTCTCACAGGATGAGGAAGTGGAATAATTGACTTCTTCTCTGTGTCTCTGGACAAGGCTTTCCGCATATCTGTTGGAAAATGAGGTTACCATGAGTTCACTTGCATACAACTAAAATGCTGATGTCTGTCAAATAACCACTTGAAATTAATTGGTACCCTGTACAGCAATATGGAGATCCTTTATGTGAGGTTAGGTTAAAATCTATTGAAACAATGAAAATGTTGGATAATAAGATTTGCGTGGTTTCCTGAGCAGCATAGAGCAGACATTCAGATGACTAAAAATAACAGATATTCACAGTAAACAAAAAATTGTCTAAAGTCATGATGTGGTTATTTTAATTTAGTTCTTCAAGAAAGAGAAAAATAATTGAATGCACACTAGAGAAGTGCACGTTAATTTCCTGGTATAATCTGCAAATTTTGTACAAACCAGTATCGAGAAGGGAAAATGTGTACTGTGGTGTTCTTTTTAATACAACTCACAACAACACAAACTAGGTTTCCTTCTTAGGACAGGAGAGCTTACCATAAGCATCTTCATCTGGCTCCCCATTGCTGGCAGAATAGTACTCTATGACTGTCCTGTAGACGCTATAACCCAGTTGCTTATACATGTTCACAGCTACCTGGTTGGAAACGCGTACAAATAGGTCCACAAAGAAGCCTCCTTTCCTGGACAAATGCAAAAGAGAACAAAGTTCAAAGCATATAAATATAAAACTGGTTAAGTGCCATGACGATAGTTTCTGATGGAGAAACCGCACAAAAAGCACTGATTCTGCTTACCTGCATTTATCAAAATAATCTTATTGATATAAATCATATTAAAATAGCTAGGTTTGCCCCTGTAATGTTACAAAATATTGATATTTTTATTTGGTTCATTTAAAATGCACATAAAACAGCTTTCATTATAAAGTTTAAGCACAATGTTTAACTAACATCACTTTATTAACCCTTACAATTTCTTGCATTAGGAATTATCTTTTCGCATACCCCAGCTTGCTCTCCATGAGACACACAGACAGGGAGGGAGCCTGGGGTCAGAGCGCAGGGTCTGCCATTGTACAGCGCCCCTGGAGCAGCTGGGGTTATGTGCCTTGCTCAGGAGCCCAACGGAGCAGGATTCCTCTGCCACCTGTGGGATTTGAACCGGCAACCTTCTAGCCACAGGCGCAGATCCTTACCCACAGAGCCACCACTCCACCCCATAAAAGTCTGATGCTCCACCAACAGCTATCCGGGCTCCAATGCTGCTTGCATTTAATTTTATTGGGTTCTTACACTTAGTCATTGATGGATAGACGCTAATATCTATTCTTACCTCAACGGTAAAGCTTTAGCATGAGAAAGTACTCAAAACATTTTATACAGCACCTTTCATGACTTCTAAAGACGCTTTACAGTAAAGATAAAATAACAGACATGTGATGGTAATTGAAAAGTAGTATAAAGAAATTTTAAAACAGGATCTGAAAGCATTGACTGGCTTGCAATATATACTGGGGAGAATACTGCAGTCTTGAAACCAGAGAGCAGACAACATAGCCTCCCAGATATTGAGGCATCATTTCGGGAACATAATTAAGGCTGAGGCCTGAAGATCACAAACAGCATGTAGGTATAAAAGGGAGCTAAATAGCTCATTGATGTAGTCAAAAGCCCAATTAAACAAGTCCTTGTAGGCGAGTGCAGTATTTTGGTTTTTATTCCGAAATACAGTAGTAGCTAGTGCAAGAAATCCAAAACAGGAGATAAGTGCTTATGCACTTAAGTTACGTGTGTATTATCGAGAAATTCAACCGTGTTCTAACAGCATTATTCAATTCAGGGCTGCAGGGAAACAAGAGCCCATCCTGGCAAGCAATGGGCACAAGGCAGGATACAACCGCAGCAAGACCCAGGTTCTTTGCAGGGCACACACAGACAGACACATGCATGCTTTTCCCCAGAGACAATTAACTTAGCAGTCTGTTTTTGGTTTGAGGGAGGAAACCCATGCAAACATGGGGGGAACACGTAAACTCAAGATTGCACCCCAGGTCTGGAATCGAACCCTGAGCCCCAGCGCAGCGAGGCAGCAATGCTAACTGCACCACCGTGCTGCCCTTATTGACAAATCATACAGTTTTACCTCTCGGAGATCTCTTCCAGCAACTCCATTAGCTTGGCTGCCAGCCCGAGCCTCCTGAACTCTGGGGCAACGGAGAGAGCTGTGACGTGCCC